ATATAGAAATGGTTGGAGTTGCTTCAACATCTGCACCAAACCATGTCCTTTCTCCTATGGTGGAACGCCCTTCAAATTTTAGAGAACTAAGAATTGCCCTACCCGAGAAGTTTGATGGCACCAGATCCAAGTTTCGAGGATTTATCAATCAAGTGCAACTTGTGATTGAACTTCAACCCCAAAGCTATCCAACTCCAGGATCACAAGTTAGATTCATTGGTACTCTTCTTTCAGGTTCGGCACTATCATGGTTTTCATCTTTTCTTGAACGACGAGATCCAATATTAGATAATCTAGAGGCTTTTTTGGTGGAGTTTCGATCCATGTATGGAGAACATGATGCAATTCGTATTGCAACCAATAAGATCTGTATTTTACGACAAGGCAATCGATCAGTTACGTTATATGCTTCACAATTTTGACAACTTGCAACTGATATCAAGTGGGATGATACTGCACTTATTAGCCAATTTTTCTACGGATTACAATATGAGGTAAAAAAATTAATGCTCAACTTACCTGATCCTCAAACATTGAGTCAAGCAATTGACTTTGCTATGAAGTGCGACAATCGCCTTTTTGAATTCCGATCTGAGAACCATACAAGTGGACCTCAACGTTACTATAATTCAATGGCAACACCAACACCTCTTCAATACATACATTCAGAAGTAGAAGATATGCAAATTGATGCAATACGTTTCAAACCTCTTACTGAGCAAGAAAAGACTCGTCGTCATCAAGAAGGATTATGTTTATATTGTGGAGAACCAAAGTACACTGCTCAACATTGTCCAAAGAAACGACGCAATCACAAAATGAGGAGTATGGTTGTGAAAGAAGATAATATGTCGGAAAATGAGTTTGTCCAACTACAATAGGGACCGTGCGGCTGGAACCTTGCACAACTTCTAGTAAAGGTCCTATTCTCTCCTCAGAGCCTTCTCCTTGTTTTACATTAAATATTATTTTAGGACCTAAACATTACAAAGTCTCTGCCTTATTAGTTTCAGGAGGCTCAGCGTGTTTCTTAGATGAAGAATTTACTAAAAGACATAGCATATCTTTAGTAAAGAAAACTAAACATGTTCATGTAGAAGTCATAGATGGTCGTCTATTGTCTTCTGGAGATATTACTCACGAAACCCTTCCTATAGAAGTAATAATCAATGGTCATAATAGTTTTGTAGTATTTAATATCATTAGATCTCCCTCTAATCCAGTCATTTTAGGTTTATCGTGGTTAGAAAAATACAACCCTCAAATAGACTGGATTTCCCGAACTCTTACTTTCTCTAAAAGTATAACTAATAGTGTAGTTAAGCAAGTAGAGAGTAATAAGTCCAGTTCAATTAAACCCCTATTTATAGATGTAAAAGCTTTCTTGCATGCTGCTATGAAAGAATCACCATACATTATTTATGCTACATCCGTTTCTACTGGTGAAAAGACTTCAAGTGGCATTCCAAGCCAATATCAAGAATTTCAAGATGTATTTGAAAAAAAGAATGTGGATACACTCCCGGAACATCGTCCCTATGATTGCTCAATTGACCTTCAAGAAGGAGTACAACTGCCATTTGAACCAATCTATAGTTTATCACAAAATGAGTTGGCTGAACTCAAGGAGTATATTGAAGAAAATCTAGCCAAGAATTTCATATGCCATTCTAAATCTTCGGCAGGGACTCCAAATCTATTTGTGAAGAAAAAAGATGGATCATTGCAAATGTGTGTTGATTATTGAGGACTCAACAAGATTACCATCAAAAACAGGTATCCACTACCTTTAATATCTGGACTTCTTGATCAGCTGAATCAAGCTAAGATCTATACAAAAATAGATCTTGGGGAAGCATACAATCTAGTACGCATCAAAGAAGGAGATGAATGGAAGGCTGCGTTTCGAACTAGGTATGGATATTTTGAATACAACGTCATGCCTTTTGGACTTACAAATGCACCAGCAGCTTTTCAACATCTAATGAATGATGTTTTTCGAGAGTTTTTGGACGATTTTGTGGTATGTTATCTAGACGACATCTTGATCTATTCTAAGAATCTAAAAGAATATGAACTTCATGTTCGTCGTGTGTTACAAAAATTAAGAGATGCAGGATTCTATGCCAAGATAGAAAAGTGTGTATTCCACACTACTCAAGTCGATTTCTTAGGTTACATCATTTCAAATGATGGACTTATGATGGATCCTAAGAAAGTTCAAACTATTATAGATTGGAAGATCCCAAAAACGGTAAGAGATGTCCAATATTTTTTGGGATTTGCCAACTACTATCGGATCTTCATCAAAGACTTCTCTCGAGTTACAGCTCCACTTACACGTTTGACTTGTAAAGACAAACTCTAATGGAATCAAGAAGCGGAAGTTGCTTTTGAATCTTTGAAGACAGCGTTTGTTTCTGTACCAATCTTGTATCGTGTTGATTTTTCCAAAGCATTCTTTATGGAAACAGATGCATTAGACTTTGCTCTGGGTGCGGTTTTATCACAAATGAAAACAGATGACAAACTTCATCCAGTAGCCTTTCATTCAAGAAAATTCTTAGCAGCAGAAATCAATTATGAGATCCACGACAAAGAACTTCTTGCAATTGTGGATTCTTTTCTAGAATGGCATCATTATCTAGAAGGCGCTTCTAGTCCAGTCACCGTGTATACGGATCACAAGAACCTCGAATATTTTATGTCAGCACGCGTATTAAATCGTCGCCAAGCTCATTGAAGCATGTCTTTATCAAGATTCGAGTTCATCATCACTTATTGGCCAGAAAAACAACAAGGTTTATCCGATGCCTTGTCTAGACATTCTTATCTTGCACCAAAAGAAGGAGATGCAACTTTTGAGCAATAAAGAATGGTTCTCTTGAAGCCGGAACAATTTTATCTTTGAGCAATAAAATCAACATTGACTGTTGATTTAACTTTTCTTAAGCAAGTCCAGTTAAGTATGTCTTCAGATCCTCTTGTTCATGATATCAAGAAAAATTCTTCTAAATCTCATGATCTATCTAAATTTGAATTCAAGAACAACCTACTCTATTTCGAAGGATGCCTATATGTTCTAGAAGGAGAAGCACGTTTACATGTTCTTCAAGCTCGTCACGACTTCCCAACAATAGGACATTTCGGATATAATAAGAATTTGGAGCTGATATCTAGGGATTTTTGGTTGCCTCAAATGTGGAAGGTAGTTAAAGATTTTGTACAATCATGTGATGTTTGCTCAAGATCGAAAACTCCTCGTCATCGACCTTTTGGACTTCTTCAGCCATTATCCATTCCAGAACAACCATGGTCTTCTGTTTCTATGGACTTCGTCACGGATCTTCCAATCTCAGGTTCTTATGACTCTATATTCATGATAGTAGATTGTTTTACCAAGATGGCACATTTTGTACCATGTACAAAATCTATCACAAGGTGAAGAAATAGCTAAGCTCTTTCT